TTAGCAATGCTCAGAATGATTTAGCACTTTCTGCTTTGGGGGAGGGGTAAAAACTCAGAGCTTAACTAGTTTAAAAAGATACCAATTGCAACAGAAATTTCAAGATATCTTGGCTGAAGGGCTTTCGAGACAATGGTTTCTTTGTGCAATAAACTCACAATTGTAACTCAGTTATTGAAGGAGAATCCTATTCTCTATCCGAGTTGTTGAGTGAAACTATGTCAATATTCCTCTTCTATTAAAACTGCATTTTCTGAAAGCACTAATATCACTAATCTTGTTACTTTGAAAATACCATGCCCCCATTTTACACACACAGAGATGCATACCTCTCTCTAGCATGCCAGATATAATGGGGAATGGTGCGTGGAACGTTATTGCATTTACTACTGTGGACATCTACTGGATCCCCTGTGGTATCAATGGTGATGAGTGTCATTCCCATCTTTGGGGTAATATTCAAAATAAGAACAGTGACCCTTCACAACAACAGTTCAGTGCTTATAACAGAATCAACTTGGCATTAGCAAAACTATGCCCTCTTTCCCCTCAATGATCTGTGGGAGTGGCCTGCAGGCCATTGGTTGTCCACCTCTGAACTTGAAAGAGAAGCACAGGGTATGTTTCTTGGAGAGTAAACATATTGACTGGAGAATGTGTATAACGCCCAAAGAATGTACAAAACGCAACTGAGATAATACACATTTCCATTGGCCTAATGAGATTATCGGTTGGGAAATGTGCACAATGGCCTCTTCATGGACAGATTATGTGCACATTCTTCATGACACATGGTGGATGCACACAATAGCTGCAGGGGGAGGAACATTCACTGGAAATTGCGTCCCCCAATTTCACCAGCAGGAGAATCCCATGAGTAGAGTGCTCATGGAAACGATGGCCACGCATTATAATATATTTATCCATCTCATGCTAAACTCAGGAGAAAGGCAGTTTCAAGCCCCGCCCCCCAAAGCAAGAAGCAGATAATGTTTTAAAAGCTACCTGTGCCCAAGCAAGATGGATATCGGAAGCATGCATGCTTTTATTTTGCTAATCTGTTGCAGCAAAACCCAGGGAAGTCTTATGGCACTTTAAAAACTAACTAACATGTTGTGGCACAAGCTTTCACTTTACTTCAAATCCACTTCATCTGATGCATAAAGTATAATCCTCGGGTGTAAAGGGAAAAAGGGGAAAAATTGGGAGTTATATGGCAATACTTACAGATGCCCACACCCAACCTAAAACAGTTAGGTGGCTACATACCAACAATACAGACACAGGGGCCAGACCCTACAACAAACTCAAATGCCAACTCTCTCCTTATTAAAGGAATACTTTTACAGGACCTAATAATGCGAGCCACAACATCAGGCATAGCTGTCAAGCGTCCCTTATTTGGCGGGACAGTCCCTTACCCCAGCGCCATGTCCCGCTGCTGTCCTTTATTGATGATGTCCCTTAAATAAGCTACTGAAGGTAATGGGGCCCTTTCTATGTCCGGCTGTCCTTTGTCAACAACAAATTGTTGCTGTTTTTTGTGTTGAATATATGCTATATGGTAATTTATGGACCTAATAGGTATCTAAAGCCATTTGCATGCAACAAAATATGTATTTTATCAAAGTAATTGTTGATCCCTTATTTTGGCGGCTGATCCCTTATTTTCGAGGCTGCTGGTCCCTTATTTTCAAATCTGTAAGTTGACAGCTATGACATCAGGGGATCATTCATCTGCTTCTCTTCCAATGCAATATATTCTCATCTGCCAGAAATGCCTTCCTGCATTCCACAAAGGACAAAGTGCCCGGTTCCTATGCTAAAGAATAAATTAAACTGAGTACGACGTTTAAAAAAAAAAAAAAGCAATATTCAGAAACAAGTAGGAGAACACTTCAACCAACCAGGACATGATCAATGACCATAAGGTGGCAATCCTTGAGCAAAGGAAGTTCAAAAGGAAACACCAATGTAAAAGAGCTGCCTTACTACTCCTCTTCACAGTGGTTTCCTGTCCCACGATGGGGGTTAATTTATTCTGCAATGCTAAAATATGTGTGCTATCACTAATTAGTGCAGTTGTGTCAGGTCATCATGCTTATTTTGCATACAGTTAAGCTCCAATTTGCATTTCAGCCTCATTAACTCCAAGTTTTACATTCTTTTCCCTTTACATCCACTTGCCAAAGGATTCATGCATCTGATAAAGGAAAGAGACTCCTAGGCCATGAAAGCTTTTGCCCCAATAAATTTGTCAGAAGTTAGTTTCTAAGGTGCTGACGACTTTTCCAGAGAAATCCTAACACACATTTACATTCAGGAGTGGGGGCGGGGGGAGATATCCCAGACATCCACTTGCGGAGGGACCGCCATGTCCATTGCCCTGCTCTTTCACTGTGGGCAGTGAGGAAGATGTGGGGGGCAGTTTTTCCTTCTTTCCTCCCACTGGAATTGTCCACATTGGCAGCAGGACTGGCACAGTCATCTTGTTTCGTGGACATGTCATGGAAACAAAAGGGCTTTGGATGTGGCATAGCCACACTAGCAGACATGCCCCAATTTTTCCCTCTCTGCCAGATGTTCATCACTGGAAGAACATCTATAGTGCTAGAGCTTCCCATGGCATACTGGAGGACCTCTGGCAGCATTAAGAGCCATTCAGCCAGTGTGACTCCATTTCCACCTGCATAGCAACACACATGCTGCCTAAGGCTCCTCAGCTAACTTTACAATAGTTTTAGAATTGCGCAATTATGTTATTTGTTTACTACCGTTTATATATGTTTTGCATGCATACCATTTAACATATCTCAGTCAACTAGTATTTCTATACTTTCCTCCATCTCCACATAAACAGGATTAAAAAACAACAACATTATTTGTACTTTCTTCACTTATAAAAAGAGGATTTGATTGCATGGAATAAAGAAAGCATTAATGGGACAATATATTACAAAGAAGAAACTAGAGCATCACCAAAAAAAAATATTCTGGGTTGTATCCAACTATATTTTCCTCAAAGTAGACACACTGAAATTAATACTTGTAAGATAAGTCATTTCTGTTAATTTTAATGTGTCTACTATGAATATAACTAACACCATGAGCAACCCTTAATGTTGAATTTCTTTAAATAAATTATCTTGTGAATATCAGCCATTTGCATGCAAAACACCATGTGTAACTGAAGAAAACTGCTATAGTGGTTCAGGGCTAACTCTGCGTCTTCCTAATTCGTAAGATGCAACCAATTACATCATAGTGCAAAAATACCTTTTAATATCAGCAACATTTTCTCCTCCAAAACTGAACTGGTTTACCTACCTGCAAGTGAAACTTATCATACATCTTTTGAAACAAACTCGAAGCAATACACATTTTCTATACTTATTGCAAATTAGTTAGAGAATCTAAAATAATACATTGGGGAGGGGGAAATCCCTGTCATCTTAAATTAACTGAAAAGGAGAAATCAACTACCCAAACAATAATTTCATGTTTCTTCTCACATCAGCATTTTCAATATATGTGATGTAAAAAGAAAAATCACTCATAAATTATTATAACCCCCAACTGTAGCCTTAGAGGTTAATTTGGCAAAGTGCTTTAGTTTCTTAGCTAGCCATGCTGGAGTGATAGCAGGAATGGAGGCAGGGACAGCAAGCAAAAAGGTTCCCATAGCACCAGCCTAAATTCCTCCAGTCATCCACTGTTGGTTTACTTCCTAAATGCACAATGCTACAGAAAGAGACACATGCCCTATGAAAGCTTGGTAAAATGCTAGAATCATTGGAATAACAGCATTCGTGTGTAACAAAGTGTGTGTGTACTTTCAGTTCATAAGGTATCAACGTGAAGCAAGGAAATTTGACAATGCCACCACCAGTATTCACCAATCTAAAGTGTCATGTGAAATATCTGCCCCGTATCCTGTCCCAACATCATCCTCCTCCTCCCTCTATGGTCACGAAAATATCCAGCTGCAGGCAAGATGATTCCCTCAAGCTTCATTTTCTCTTCCCTCTATGAGGAATCTTAGGTGATTGCTTCATGAATTTTTAGTTTCCAGTTCTGATTATTTCAAATACCAGACACTTTTACTTACAAGAGAGCACTTATTAACCCCCTTCAGAACCTAGTGAGAGATATTGACTTCTCTGCAAAAGGAAATATGAATCACCAATTATCTTACATGAGGAAATCAATAGCTGGCATTTAACAGTGCTGGGGCCAACTTGAGGTCCAGCAACATTTTTGAGTACCTTAAAAATCAGAATGATGTTTATTAGTTGCTCTTCTTCGAAATCTGCTTTATTATTTTAAGGAACATTACTGTTAAACATTAGTTCTAATGGAACTATTTTTGCAGTTGGCCCAGAATGTTTGGGGTGGGGTGCGGTGGGGGTACTAACAGAGAAAGCACAAAAACATAAGGATATAATAGTTGGTTTACTGCATACTGTAATAAACAGTATTGGGCTCCTGTTTAATGTAAGTTAAGCCCCTGACCTACTGGTCTATCTTTAGACTATGCCCCCTCTCTCTGATAAATATATAACATGTTTCTATAGTAAAGTTTCCTGAATGCATTTGTATTATTGCAAAAAGTCCTGAAAATACAAAAAAAAAGGTAGTGACTAACAATCATTCTCCACATTATTAATGGAGAAGACTATTGGATCAAAGAAATTCTGAATGAAGTGAAGTTTATTGGTGCACTTTCTTCCCAGTTAGAAACTAGAAACAAGCAACAGGGAATTATTATGTTACAGAGCCAAAACATGCCACCAGTAGGCCATGTTTTGACCTTACCTGGTGGCCACCAGACATTTTGGACTAAGAGTCCTATCAGGCCTAGCCAGCATGTCCATAATGGCTGTGGCTGACACAAGTTGTAGTCCAAAATATCTGGAGGAGACCAGGTTGGAGATGACCACCGTAAGCAAAGCATCAGTTGCCTTTTCCGTATACTATTATTTTCATTTGCAATTGCTTACCTGGTTCTCCTCATGAGAAACCCTCATCTGCTCTTTCAGAACGGACATTCTGGCCGCTTCTTCTTTCCGCAGCACTCTTTCCTTTTTGAGCTCAGGGCTCCAGAAGGTCTTGATGCTATTCATGGAAGAGCCAAGCTTGCTATCTTTAATGTCCAGTTCTTTCCTCAGCAAGTCATTCTCTCTCTGCAACTCCTTAAGCTGAGCTTGTAGATCTAGCATGGTGCTATCCCTTACCTGTCTCAACATAGAAGGTATCTGGTGGTGATGGTGATGTGCAGAAGTGGTCAGCCCCCCATGCTGATCAGTGTAAGAAAGAAGGTCGGAGTGGGAAAGGCCAGCGGAAGCAATATTAGGACTGCTCCCCATAGCTGTCACTCGACCACCGTACACAGCTCGATTTGTAGCCCTTCCAAGAGTCATTGTGCCCTTGGGGAAAGTAGTGGACGCCACACCTTCATGGTCACTCAGGTACATTGGTCCGGATGTTGCATAGGCGGCATTAAGTGACTGGATATTCTCCATTGATAACGTCTTACCTGTCCCTCCACCTCCTCCACTACTTGTTCGCCTATGGCCCAGCCGAGGAGATCTTGGCAAGCGAGGGGATCTGGCAGGACTGCCTTCCAAGTTACTGATTGTTCTTGCACTTCCATACATTTTTATTTTAATGTGAGGTACTACTTAATACGAAATTAATCACACTTAAGTGGGTTATTCAACCTCTATTTCCAGTTGCTGTTGTTGGCAAGCTGCTTCACAGCATTCTTCCAAAAGGCAACGAATTCCTTAAAATGACTTCTCCAGGCTGAAGATCTGAAAATAAAAATATAATTAGAGATTACTAAAAGTTACTTGACAATGCCAAAACCTGGAAGCACAGGTTCATTTTAACTGTGGGTTTATGAAATTACAATAGCGCACTATCCTTCTGAGCACATTTTCAAACTAAGAAGAATTCTGTATGTTATAGTTACTTTTATTGCCAAAGGGCTTTTTGTTTTTATGTGTAAAAATGCCATATACAAATACACAGATAAGGTAGATGGACTTGACATTGCTAGAACATACACTAGATTCCATGATTAACTCTGTGCCTCAAATGGAACTTTTTTTAAAAAAAGACAGAACGGAGAAATAAAGAATTACCAAATATTTTTATTGCGGTTGCTTGAGAGTAACCAGGCAGGACTCCGACCTGCGTTTTACAGGCTTTATTTTGGTACAAACTATTTACATTGAAAGGGACGCAGGTGGCGTTGTGGGTTAAACCACAGAGCCTAGGACTTGCTGATCAGAAAGTCGGAGGTTCGAATCCCCGCAACAGGTGAGCTCCCGTTCCTCGGTCCCTGCTCCTGCCAACCTAGCAGTTCGAAAGCACATCAAAGTACAAGTAGATAAATAGGTACCGCTCCAGCGGGAAGGTAAACGGTGTTTCCATGCGCTGCTCTGGTTCGCCAGAAGCTGCTTAGTCATGCTGGCCACATGACCCGGAAGCTGTCTGCGGACAAACACTGGCTCCCTCGGCCTATAGAGCGAGATGAGCGCCGCAACTCCAGGGTCAGTCATGACTGGACCTGATGGTCAGGGGTCCCTTTACCTTTACCTTTATTTACAGTGAAGAGCCCCAAAGCTAATGTCTGGCTCAATCACTAGCAGAATCCGGGAGTGGTCTTTTTTTGGACCTCCCCCAACATAAGAGTTTCGTTACCCCCAACCGTCTCCGCCCCTCTCTGCGCCTCATACTACTGCACAGGATGGGCGATGGCAAGGGTGTGTTTCCCTCCTGTCCGGCTTGCTCAGGAGTGGTGTTAAGGCTCCCACCAGCATCCTCTGGTCCTTGCACCTCTTCCCCACTGGAGGTGGGGCTTTCCCCCTCCCAGAAGAGGAACTGCTTCCGCAAGATTTTCGGATGCTCCCTGTAACACAACTGCCCTTCTATTTCTCACCTCTGAGCCGATGGCAGTTCCCTGACACACACACATATATATTACATACTCATTTTGACACTCTGGACATCTTATCTATAGACTATTAAAGTCTTCTTCCTGCTTCTTTGAAGTTCAGGATTAATAATGATCAGAAAACAATAACTTGGGTTGTGTGTGGCCCATTGTTTTTTGTCCATCAAACTGTCTTGCTAACATGCTTGTGTCTGTTGTTCCTTATTATCTATACTATTTTATTTTTTGCCTGGTTTTTATGAATGTATCAGTTGCTTTTCTACAGTGAAACGTACAGAAGTCCTTATCCACTTGAACTCTTACAGCCAAACTAGGTATCAATGCTCCTGCTAACCCAAGGCTTTTGCTGCACTAGGTTTACCCCTTTTGAACTTTTACCTTGTTTACCCCTTTAGTTGGGCAGTTAGAGTTGGAATGTTTTAAGCCTCATCTAGGGACTCATTAAGTTGCTCATTCCCTATAGGTGCTCCTCCATTTGGCAGGAGGCTCCAGGCCAATATCCCTACATGGTGATACAATTCTAATAAAAGGTAAAGGTAAAGGTACCCCTGCCCGTACGGGCCAGTCTTGCCAGACTCTAGGGTTGTGCGCTCATCTCACTCTATAGGCCGGGAGCCAGCGCTGTCCGAAGACACTTCCGGGTCACGTGGCCAGCGTGACATCGCGGCTCTGGCGAGCCAGAGCCGCACACGGAAACGCTGTTTACCTTCCCGCCAGTAAGCGGTCCCTATTTATCTACTTGCACCCGGGGGTGCTTTCGAACTGCTAGGTTGGCAGGCGCTTGGACCGAGCAGCGGGAGCGCACCCCGCCGCGGGGATTCGAACCGCCGACCTTTTGATCGGCAAGCCCTAGGTGCTGAGGCTTTTACCCACAGCGCCACCCGCGTCCCACAATTCTAATGACTAGATGCAAATAAGCACATCACATAACCTATGGCAATTAGAATAAAAAGTAAATGAAGATTCATTGCAGAGGCTTTTAGAGTAAGCAGATCCACAACCACAAATATCTGCTGATAATGTTTTGCAATACAAAGAGGTTGGGTTTGCTTAGACAACCACAACTATGCAGCTGTCTCAGGTCAGTCAGTCAAGTTTATTGCTTATAGCCAAAGGCTGCTGCAATGTATACAGTGTCATTCAATAAAATATATACTAGTTTGATACAAAAACTTAAAACTTTAAATTGTCAAAACATGACCTAATCTGCACAAAACTACAGAAACTCCTTAATATACAAATTGAAACATTAGACAATAAAATTTATAAGCTAAAATCACCGCAGGGCCACTAATATATTAAAAGTAATATTAAATAATACAATAGACAATTATGTACAAAGTTTAGTGAGAAAGATACAGCTTGGTGTAGATGGGGGTCAAATAAATTAATCTCCTTACACAGCTGATAGCTATCTCAGCTATATAATTTTTTCTAATTTTCCTGGTGGCAGTTGCAAAAAGTGCTACACACCAGGTCACATACTTATCAATGTCTGCAAGGAGATATTGAATCATGTCAGAAGGATTCTGGCTAGGGGACCTTATCATTATAGGCGTCAAAAACCGTTCTCTTGCTTCCATATATAAGGGGCAGCACAAGATATAATGCGTAAGGTCCTCTAATTCAGGGCATCCCCTAATACAAACATGATCAATTACTGGTATGCCTCTATGTCTCCCATCTCTATAAGCAGAGTTTATTGTATTTAATCATAGCTCTGTAAAAGCTTTCCAGAGTTGTACAAAAGTCAATTCATTGAAGTAAGACATATGTTCATGGGCCTCTCTAAGTTTAAAATATAATGGGCTGCATGTGGATGGGTACATGGAGTTTAAGTCGTTTTTAGTAGCCACTGCCCTTATGGTCCGTTTAAAAATATTTTTCTGAGAGTGTAGGGAAAGTTCTTTGAGCTTGGTCACTGCGAGGTCATATTTGCTCATTAGTTGGGTGGCATGATGTACCCAGTTTTTAAGGGGTAATCCATTCGTGAACTCAATCAGGCATTTTTTTGGTAACCTAGTGTTGTCCATCTGTTGAACCATGAAGGATTGCACAGTTGTGGGTAGGCCTAAAAGGGCTCTTAAAAAATAATTATGTGGGAGTTCCAGACCAGAAACCTTTGAGGTACCCCAAACCTCTGTGCCGTATAAAATCTGGGCTATTGATTTTGCTTTACAAACAGATAGAGCTGGGTTAACCAGATTTCCACCTTTACAAGCAGCAAATTTCAGAATAGCTTTTGCTGATTTAAAGCCTTGCAATTTAATGTTAGATAGCTGCGTATTACAAGAGGCTGTTTCTGAGTAGACCAGTCCCAAATATTTAAATGTATTTACTTGATTTATAATGTGTCCATCCAGGTGCCAAACATGCTTTATAGGGCGCTTCCCAAATACGATGACCTGCGTCTTGTCATAGTTTATAGATAAAGCATTACCCATGCAATATGAACCTAATTTCGCAAGCAGCTGTCTCAGGCCCACCTGGGTTCTAGACACAAGTACTAGGTCATCAGAATACATTAAAACTGAAAGTGTTTGGTCGAGAATTGTAACAGGGGCAAATTAAATGCCATCCAGTTCTTTAACCATGTCATTAATATAAAAGTTAAACAGAAAAGGCACCAAAATACATCCTTGTTTAATTCCGGTAATGGTCTTTAGTAGTGAGATGCCCAGCCAGGTACACTTTTACTTGTATCGAAGTTGCTGTCTCAGGTTGAAAAAATTAATTCATTCCAGTTGTCCAATAAATTTCTTTTCTTGAAGCTTAAAAATGGTACTCTTAAACGAGCAATGCAAAGAAATAGAGGAAAACAACAGAATGGGAAAAACCAGCAATCTGTTAAAAAAAACTGGAGATATGAAAGGAACATTTCGTACAAAGATTACCATAATAAAGGACAAAAGTGGAAAGGACCTAACAGAAGCAGAAGACATCAAGAAGAGGTGGCAAGAATACACAGAGGAATTATACCAGAAAGATATGGATGTCTCGTATACCCCAGGTAGTGTGGTTGCTGACCTTGAGCCAAACATCCTGGAGAGTGAAGTCAAATGGGCCTTAGAAAGCACTGCTAATAACAAGGCCAGTAGAAGTGAAGATATTCCCAGCTGAACGATTTAAAATTTTAAAAGATGATGCTGTTAAGGTGCTACACTCAATATGCCAGCAAGTTTGGAAAACTCAGCAGTGGCCAGAGGATTGGAGAAGATCAGTCTACATTCCAATCCCAAAGAAGGGCAATGCCAAAGAATACTTCAACTCCCACACAATTGCACTCATTTTACACGCTTGCAAGGTTATGCTTAAAATTCTACAAGGTAGGCTTAAGCAGTATGTGGACCGAGAACTCCCAGAAGTGCAAGCTAGATTTCGAAGGGGCAGAGGAACCAGAGACCAAATTGCAAACATGCGCTGGATTATGGAGAAAGCTAGAGAGTTCCAGAAAAACATCTACTTCTGCTTCATTGACTATGCAAAAGCCTTTGACTGTGTCGACCACAGCAAACTATGGCAAGTTCTTAAAGAAATGGGAGTGCCTGATCACTTCATGTATCTCCTGAGAAATTTCTATGTGGGACAAGAAGCTACAGTGAGAACTGGATACGGAATAAATGATTGGTTCAAAATTGTGAAAGGAATACAGCAAGGCTGTATATTTTCTCCCTGCTTATTTAACTTATATACAGAATTCATCATGTGAAAGGCTGGACTGGATGAATCCCAAACTGGAATTAAGATTGCCGGAAGAAATATCAACAACCTCAGATATGCAGATGACACAACCTTGATGGCAGAAAGTGAGAGGAATTAAAGAACCTTTTAATGAGGGTGAAAGAGGAGAGC